ATATTCTAGCTCAATAAATTGTAATAACAACTCTGAGGCATGATAACACTTGAATGGGTAGGCACAGCTAGACCTCTTATAAGTAAAGGACAGTTCTTCTTTGCCACCAACCATTGGAAAGTCAAGATGTCCATCTCCTCTTCTCTGAACATTGCTTGTTATAATACAAAGTTACTTCTTCCTGTTATCACATGCAACCATAAAACACACTCAGTACACAAAAATAAATAAAATTGCATAATTTTTATATACAATTTAACATATCTTTTAGTGTTATTTCTGTGCACATTTTTTACCCTATGTGAACATGAGGCTATCCTGTATGATGTTAATGACCCCACACACCTAAAAAAGTCCAAAGAGTACAATGGCTGAAACATGATAATAACACAAAAACTGTGGACATTAGTTTGACTGTAAATAAAACAAATAATGATAACTCCTGATTCCAGAAATGTGTGATGTAGTAGAATGAGGGGCCTTGTATCATGGATTGGGCGAAGAGGATCACGGGACCCTTGCACTGGCCCTGTATTTATATAAAAATGTATGCATTAATATGTGCAGACATTTATCAATTATAGACAAATTGTTTCTATGAAGTTAATTGTATTTTAGACCATATACACCCAATAGACTGCAAACACATTTTTGGATGCTGTTGTCAAATGCTTTCTTTGTTAATGCACTTAATTCAGTGGTAAATATTAATCAACCTGATTGAACATTATGAAGTGAAAATTTCAGGACAAAATTCAGGTGATGACTACATCATGCTATGGACTTATTGAGCTGCATTTGTATGCTCATAACATTAACTTACTCTTTAGAACAAGAAAATTGTTAACTGAATTAGTTAACTGACATCTTACAAGATTTAAAAAATAAATACATGAAGAAAATCTCATAAATATTAATGGAATTATTTCTGCCAGAATTATTTCTGCTAGAATGATTTCTGGAATCAGGAGTTATCATTATTTGCTTTATTTACAGTCAAACTAATGTCCTCAGTTTTTTTGTTATTATCATGTTTCAGCCATTGTACTCTTTGGTCTTTTTTAGGTGCGTGGGGTCACACATTTAAAAAAAATATGAATTAAAGGGCAAAATGATCATGATGCATATCCACACAGATAGGGACACATACAAACACAGAGAATACAGAAGAAAATTTACACCAGTACTAAACGTGTATAAAAAGGAAAAATTGAAAAAATATAAGCAGTAAATTCTTGATACCCCCTGAAGAGTGGACGACAGCTGCATCTACAAAACTCTGGAGTCGGGATGTTGAAGGTAACATCAATCAGCTAAGTGACAAATTTTACTCATATTAATCCTTATATATATATATATATATATATATATATATATATATATATATATATATATATATAAATATAGGATTTTTAGACTTTGTCATTCACTTGCCTACTATTTATCTATTTTTCACCATTAGGCTATGGACTTATTGATGTACTTATATAGAATATTTTGCTTCTTATGAATAAAAGCAAAAAACATGTTAAGCATTTATATACTGTAATCTTTTAGAGTAAAAAAGGAAATCTTTGAAAAAAAGGCAGTCCTGGAAGCTTTCTGAATTTATACATTCATCTAAATAAATGGATAACTTATTATTTATATATTTATTTACCATTCATTTTGTTAGAATATCTTTTTCTTTTGCTTTACTCTAATGTAGATTTTTTTTAAGCCTTTAAAAAGGGAATGTAAAAAGAAAATTCTGTTCTGAAGAGAGGATTAAATGAAGATTGAAACATCAACAGTAAAGATTTGTACAATCTTTAAAAGCATCTTTCATCTCCTTTTTTCTTGTATTTTTTGGCTTCCTACTTATCTTTCTTATCAAAAGTTTCAACATTTTCGGTCAGAAAATATTGGTGTTAGCAATTTAATTATGCATAATAAAAATTATATTTGCTATATTTTTTGTTTCATTTTATATTTTACCCTTTTATATTTTACCATTTATATATTACATCATTTTATATTTTACCATTTATTTATCATACCATTTTATCTTTTTCCATTTATACATCATACCATTTTATATTTTACCATCATACCATTTATATATTATATCATTTTATATTTTACCATTTATTTATACCATTTTATCCTTTGCCATTTATACATCATACCATTTTATATTTTACCATTTTGTATCATACCATTTATATATTATATCATTTTATAATTGACCATTTGTATATCATACCATTTTATATTATGCCATTTATATACATTATTATGTCATTTTATATTTTACCATTTATATCTTTTACCATTTATATATTATACCATTTTATAATTTACCATTTGTGTATTATACCATTTATATATTATACCATTTTATATTATACCATTTTATATTTTATACTTCATCATTTATATATCATCATTGTCATTATCATTTATCATCAGTCTCATGACTAAGCGTGATCATAGGGTTGTTGTACAGCTGAGTACCTGAACAGTTCCCTCCACATATCTGGATTGAAAGACGGCAAAATATTCTTTTATGCATCATGTATCTTGGATAAGTAGATCTGACAGAAGCACATTAGGGGTCAACCACTCAGGTGTCACCCACATGCAAGAACTCCTTCCAGCTACTGGTGGAATTCAAAACCGCGACATCAAGGCCATTCATTTTACACGTTAAAAATGCAAGGGCAACCGGTAGACATACCCACCACTGCAAACGAGGAAAGAGACCATTCGATCTCGTCTTTAAGACTTTGTCACAATCTAACTCAAAGGGAAAACGTCATCCTAATTGTTTCATTGTTTTGATGATAAGAGACAACGCTAACACACCATTTTTCCTTTGACACAGAGAGATTCCACTAGTATCCTCTGATCAAGGCACATTTTGGAGAAGCAATCAACTGTATCCAGATGTCAATCACACAAGAACTTCCTGTCCAGCGCCCGCAAAGCTCAGGAAATATCAAGAGACAACATTGCACGAATGAAGGCGGCACTTTATATGTTATGCAAAGACAGGAACTGTGAATGGACAGACGTTCTAGAATCTGTCGTTTCGTCCATGAATGCCACGGCGCCACCGGTGTCTCCCCAAGACTATGCCATTACCGGCCGTCACCCCCCATTGGCCTACCTACACTACACAGAAAAAGAAATCCATTCCTGGAGCATATGGAATGCAAATTAATGCCCTGCTAAAGCAGGGTTCACCACCACGTCACCCTGGCCAACGATGAAGCTGACCACAAACTTGAGACTAACTTAAATCGCCTCACATACAAGGAGCCAATACAAGTAGGACAAGGTTTTACTTCATCAGCCACACTCAACTGTTGCCCAATCTTCTCATCTGCCCTGGATAGGAAATTACACAATTATAAAAACGAACAATAATATGTGTCAGGTGCAAAACGATGATGGTGATACAATCCGGATTCACTGTGCATATATCCGACGACTGGCTCCATGCCCAACACATCTTTCTAATACAATCCCTCTGCCTCCACCATGTAACAGTTACCAGGATCATTCTCCTCCACATCCCTCAGGGACACATAATTCAGCAAATAATTCCATATCAAAACAAATGCCAATAAGAAGAACACGAGGACAACTTCCCACACGCTTCAGAGACTTTATCATGAATTAATCACCCAAATATACACGAATAACGCTCACTGTAAACGAGACCGAGATCTGGGGGAGCCTTGTTATAAAATAAAATAAGACATATCTGATTTACAGGCAAATACTCAAGAGCAAAACCCTGTCACAAAATGACCATTATCTTTTTTTACAAATGTTTCTGACACACGTGTTCCAGGCTCGAAAAATAAAATAATATTTAAAGTGCTCTATTTTTCGTCCAATAAAAATGCTTCCTCCTAATTATACTCGCTTGCTTTCTCGAGCCTGTTAAGCCATAAAAAACGCTATAAAAGGGGTCACACGGAAGTTCAACAGGTGGCCAAAAGGAGACCGGTCACGTTCAGCAGCTGTCAGCAGGAGAGCACCAACCACCGTCAACATGTGTGAACTACTATGAGAGATCGACCTAGATCCGAAAGCCGGCTTATGAACTTTCCCACACCAAGGTAGCTATCCTAAACCCTCACGCCCTGTTGAAATAAACCACGAAAATCTATTTCTACTGTTGTCGTATTTCTTTCTTGCAACCATACGCTTGTCTATAACACTGTACATGTAAAAAATATCCAGTTTTGAATGTAAAATATTAAACCCAAGTTATGTTTAAAATAATCCAGTGTATATATTTGTTAACAGTAACAATAACATTAATTGTGTGATTTGAGAGAGAGATTCTTAGGTAATTTGAATTTCCTAGGACAAAATAAAAACATTAAAAAAAACAAAAAACAAACAAAAAACACCCATTTTTTTCCAGGGTTTCCAGTCCTGGAAAATCATGGGAACCTTGTTAACCTCTACATATCTAAGGTCAACCAATATCTATCCTACATATCCTCATAATATGTACTTCTTTTTCCTTTCTCCTCTTATGCTTTCATAACTATTTCATTCAGTATACTATCTTGAAAGGCTCTTGGGCCTTGTATTAGGTGAACTATAGTAAAGAAAAGGAATAAAAAGGATATTTTTTACATTAATATACATAAGGATGAGGGAAACTTTTGTGTTCAGTATAACAGAAAGAATGAAAAATGTCTGACTTACTGAAGGAGTCCACATATTTGCGCAGAGTGCAACAATTGTTTTGAATGGATCCTGACCACGTCCTACAGTTGCTGACAGGCCTAGGATTTGTGGGACCTTTGTAGCTGATCTTTTTAATTCATGATATTTTTTCATTATTTCATTGTAGGGATGTTTCTCTACAGTGTTATGGCATTCATCAAATACTAGTAAGTCATAATCAGACAACTTCACATGACGAAAGTTCAAAGCATTATCCAAAATTTGAGCAGTCAAAATTACAACAGATTTTTTCTTTATATGCTCACTGGACAAACAATCATTCTCCTCTAAAGAATGTACATCATCATCCAAGATCTTTTTGAGCTAAAAAAAAAAAAAAAAAAAAAAAAAAAAAAAAAGAAATATCAAAGTGAGTCAAAAATCATTGTTTCACAAAAAATAAATCATAATTTTTAAAGCTTTAATGCAGTGTGTGGCAGAAATGTCTCCCACAGACATCATTGCCACTAATGTCATACCATTATGTGGGAGGTATTTCTGGGAGGTATAAGTGGAAGATATTTCTGTTGCACCCTGTATAAACAACATTTTCTGCAAAACAACTATTGGTTAATTTGCATTATAATTCCCAAAAACCAATTGTAATGAAAATTATCCATTATGGTGTGAAATTATCTGATTATTTCGAAAATAGCAATAAAAGTTTGTGCTCAAATACTATTTAGGACTTATCGACAATGTAATTTTGACCTCATTTGCGTCACAGCTACAGAATGGCCGCCATTACTGACTTTCTTTACATACATTTGCCTCGAGTAGTAATGTGTGAAAGCTTCACTTGTCTTGATTACCGTGAAGTTTAAAATGAATGCACAAAATTCTAAAAGTATCCCAACAGAAAAAAGCGTCACTATTCCAAATGTTTCAGTAAAATTGAAAAAACAAAAAAAAAAAAACAAAATTGTTTTTTTTTTTGAAAGATGTTTTGTTTTTTGTTTTTTTTTTAAAAAAAAAAAGTTGTCATGAAAGTTTCCTTACAATCTGGCAATTATTTGATTTTTACAAGAATTTCCAAAACAATGTTTTTCACCAGTGAAAAAAAAATGGCGCATGTTCTGTTGTCTGAATAATATTTCTTCTATTTTTTTTCTAAATAATTTAAATGTCTTAACTTAATCAAAATTTAACCCAAAAGAATTCTTAAGACACTATCATTATTTCTTCGATTTTTTTTTTTTTGCAAAAAAGGTTCATGTATGACATATTTATTAAGAAAAGTTTTCAATTGTTTTTCTCAATAATTTAAACCAATTTAAAAAAAGAATTCATTATTTATTAAAGCTTCACTTCCACAAAAGTGAAAAAAAAAGCTGTTTGGTTAACAAATTTAATCAAAATTTAATTGGAAAAAGGTATTTATACCAATAAAAATAAAAAACAATTCATTTAAAGCTTCATTTTTAAAAAAAGAAAAACCTTCACACATTAGCAAAGCATGTACATTTTAAATTAAATTTTGTGAAAATTGCACAGTAATCAAGATGATTAAGATGATAAGATCAGTAAAAATACTTTTGCACATTACTACTTGAGGCAAACGTATGTAAATAATACCAGTAATGACTGTATATGTGTCACGGATAAGGTCAAACTAAGATTGTTGATAACTCCTGAATGGTATTCAAGTGCAAACTTTTGTTATTTTCGAAATGATCAGGCAATTCCACACCATAATGGAAAATTTTCATGACAATTGGCTTTTGGGGATTATCATATATATTAACCAGACTTTTTTTTTATTATTATGCTAAGTTCACTTAAATTTTGGCAAAACATGTGCCAATAAAATCATTCTTCTTAGTTTAATAAATTTCATTTTATTTCATACTAATTAGTTTTATACAGCTATTTCTAACAATAGCTAACAAAAACAAAGATGCCAATATGTAAGAGTTGAACATATTAATAAATTCCATTTGTATTTACCAAAATAAAGCTTAAACTGTCTTGTATAACAATTTTGAATGGTAACTACAAAAAAAAAAAAAAGCATAAGAAATGGCATTATGAAAGATTTCATTCTATTTACAAAAATAAGGCCTAGATTGTCTTGTATAACAATTTCCAATGGTAATTAGCAAAAACAGAGATGGCATCATGTAATGGTTCATATATCCAACATAGTAGTTAATGTTTGGATAAATTTAATTTATCAAAATAGATCATAGTCTTATGTAGCAGTTTCTGATAGAAACACTAACAAAAACTTTTCTTTTTTTTCAAAATAAAGGAATCTATTTCATGCAGCAATTGGCAATTTTCAATATTGATATGAATTTCTTTTAAGTTTTTGTAATACCCAAAACAAAGGTTATCAATACTGACATGAGAGTGGATACAATTTCCTGTTTTTACAACTGAACTGGAAATTATTCTATTTTTAAGATGAAGTATGTCAAAACTAAAGTCCCCAATAAAAAAAAGGAAAACTTGCTGTAATGTACCATTTTTCTTTTTTCGGTGATATGGTAAAAAAACTAACCTTCAAACAGATCATTATAATATTAATTTATTGTCTCTAAAATATAAACTGCACTTCAATCCAGTGAAATTTTATGACTGAATAATTATTAAGAAAATTAAAACAATAAAATTGAATACTAACATCAATTGCCAGATGTTTAACCAGGAAACGGATATGAACCAAATAAAGAACCCGATAAATCTGATTATTTTTCTTTGCTTCCTTCAGATGGTGATCGATGACAGATCCTGCTGTTATTGTTTTACCGCTTCCTGTCGGGGAGCAAATGATACAGTTCATCCCATTTTTAGCTTTTTGCTGCTAATTCTTTTTGGTAGTTATATAACTTAATTTCAGAATGAGAAGAATCCTCAGAATTTTGAGATCCATGTGAATTGCATTCATCACTGATACTGGAATTTGTTGCAGTATCATTTGTGGCACCTGAATCCAACAAGTCATCAGATTTTGTATTAATTTTGAATGTATCTTCTGATGTGACAGTCCAAAAAAGATTAACCTTATGTTGAAATGATGAAAACTCTTTTGACTAGCCAGTGTTTTCTTTATTTTGAATTCTCATAATAAATCTATTTACATTGTCAATGACTCACTAGGTGTCATGCTCTTTCGGAATGTGGATTATCATAGCTCACCATGGCTTCCTTTCTTTTTATTGTTGCTGTTCTCAGTAATCCTTACTCTTTTACAACCTCTCTTTGTTTTTGCAGTATTTGTTCTTTCATCCAATTGCTCAAAATAAGCAATGTGCCATGCATGTGTTAAGTTGTCTATGTCATTCTTCCTAATTATATGAGGTTGAGTCATAAATAATTTCCAGTTTTGTTTATGACCTTTATTCTTCAAAAAATAAATTACAATTACAACTTATTCAATTATATATTCACCGTTATTTATAACAAATTGTTATGAGAATTTTTCTATACATTTTCAGTAAAATGTTGCAGATATAAAGATATAGATAGATAGCTATATATTAAGAAACTGAGATAGATAGATAAATAGATAGACAGATAGATGAATGAACAGACTGAGATAGATAGATAGATAGATAGATAGATAGATAGATAGATAGATAGATAGATAGATGAACAGACTGAGATAGATAGGTAGACAGATATTAAGAGACTGAGATAGACAGATAGATAGATAGATAGATAGATAGATAGATAGATAGATAGATAATTTTTACTTTTATTTATCAATTTTATTCTTCAAAAAATAAGCTACAATTACATCATATTTAATTATGATGTGTTGGGTAAATCATTGCCATTTTCTATTCTTAATTTTGCACATGCATATTGTTTGTTTTTGATTTTGTCAACTGCACAGTATTGTAGGGCCAGTTGGGCACCATCTGTGAGAAAACAAATACCATAATGCAATTCATTCTGCTAGAAATTTGGAAATGGGATGCTGTACTGCTTGGTATTTGCACTGGAAGCTCCAATATGAACATTTCACAGTGTTTGGATGTCAATCTGAGAACAGTTCAGAGAATTCAAAAAGATTTGGATGAATCCAGTGGTGATTATGATGGTATGGCAGATCAGAAAATTCACTCTGATCATTTTGATAAGAAAAGAACTCCTGAATTTATTGGTTAGAGCCCCAGACTCAACATGAAGGCCTACATCAAGTGCCTTGAGGAGGTAGTGCTGCTCTGGATCAAGAGGGTAGCTCCTGGAAGGCCCTATGTCTGGCAACATGACTCTGCACCATGCCACACAAGTAGGAGAACCCAGTCATGGCTGTTAGACAATTTCTGTAACCACATCATTCCTTACATCTGGCCACCTAAGACTGCAACCTCCTTGATTATTATATGTGGGGCACAGTTGAGTGAGAGACCAACAAAATTCCTTGTAACTTTATGGCATCATTCACCAACTTAAACAAGGAGACTGTCCAGAGGAGTTTCAGGAGATTCCAAAGTCATCTGGAGGCAATTTTATTGAATAAATTTACTCTTTAGTATTTCAAGATATTTTTTTGTGTAATTTTGTTAAATATAGTTGTTAAAATGAAATGTCAGTGTTATTTTCATTTTTGTGACAATTTATCCATCATACCCTGTATATTCACCATTATTTGTAATAAATAGTTGCCATTTATATGAGAATTTTTGTATATATTTTGAGTAAAATGTCATAAAAGGTTTTTATGTGAAAAAGTTTTTGATGAACTCTTGAATCTGGTTTTCCCCATTAAAACATTTTGTCACACTCAAAAAAAGCTTCATACATCAGTTGAGGCAAGTTCAGATGAATATGGTAGATGTCTCATAATATTTTCCTGTGCTACAGTGGGTTATGATTAGTTTTTAGCCACCCTTGATTACAACAATTTTGGCTTGTTTAATAACATCTCCACTTTTTTTTTTCAGATAATACTGTGTTAGTATCAAGCTATTCTCATCTATGAGCAACAGTTGACTTATATCTTGCAATGAAAGTTCATGGAAGTAAGGAAATTAGGGAATTTCAACAAGGGCAAATAATAGGATGTCATCAGTGTAGCAAGTCAAACAAAGAAATTGCTAGATTTTCCAAGTTAATCATCAAACGGTTAATAATATTGTCAAGAAATTTAATGAAGAAGGCCATTGTTGTATCAAACAATGTTCAAGAAGACCAAGCATCATGTCAGAGCAAACAAAAAGAGCACTGAACTGGGAAGTCATCAGAAACCATCATTAGAGCATCAAATATGTTGCAAACAGCATGGAAATGTCACCATATACAGTGAGAAAGACTCTGAAAGAGCTAGGCTATCAAAGAGCTACAAGAAAGAAGCCCTTGATTTCAGAGGTTAACAGGAACTTTCATATGGACTGGGTGAGAGAATTCAAGAGAAAAGATTATGAATTTGGCAATCTGTAATTTGGTCAGATGAAAGTAAATTTTGTCAATATTCTAATTCGAGATTGGTTTATGCTTGGGGAAATCAGAATGAGGCTTAGAACACTGAATATCTGCAGGCAACTGTGAAACATGGAGGGATTAGAGTAATGGTGTGGGGAACTGTCTGGTTTGGAGGGAAATCTGAGCTGATTCTTGTTGATGAGCAGTTGAATGGTCCAAAATAGTTTCAAATATTAGAGAAAGGAATACTCCCACTATTTGAAACCTATCAGATTGACAAAAATGTCTACCTTTTTCAAGAAGATAGAGCACAATGTCATACGAGCAAAGTAGCAAAGGCCTGGAAGAAATTGCAAGGAATCAAGTCACTGCCAAAATCCTGACATGAATCCAATAGAGCACATTTGGAGCACCTTGACCAAAGACTTTGAGAGCATGCAACCAAAATCACATAACCCTTAAAGAAACATTACTAAAGGAGTAGCAAAATTGTTGATAACTTGATCAAATCCATGAAAAATCGAATACAAGCACTGAAACTAGCAAATGGAGGACCTACTCAATACTAGTTCCAAATACTGTTTGCTTATGTTGAATGGGGATTACATAATTACATTTTGAAATTGGATGTAGTTTATTTATCCTGGTTAAAAACTTTTCTTAGGCCACTGTATTCTTGCTACATGCAGCCTTGGCAGAAAAAACGTTTTTCTTTTAATCCACTGTGTATGCTGCCACGACATGCAAAAACTGAGATATATTAGTGTACTCTAAATTTATTTTTAACTGACATGTAAGATTAGTAAGAATGATACATTTATCATTTCAATTGGCTCCCCCCAAAACGGGACTCACTTATGACTAATAGATACTAAAAGTTTCAACTGTCACTTTCTGGTTGGTAGCAACAGTTAGTTACTTTACATAGCAGTGCAGCATTCTTTTTTTGTCTCTTAGGACATTTTTGATCTGTTAATACATTTCTCAGTTTATCTCTATCTATAAAAGGCAGGATGTGTGTGTGTGTGTGTGTGTGTGTGTGTGTGTGTGTGTGTGTGTGTAACGAATGCACGGACGCAATTTTTGACAGATTTGCACCAAAATTTACATGCACATGCTCCAAGTTAGCGGGAAGGCCAAGACTGACTTTGCATTTCCCAACTCTCATCGATAGTGGAAATAATCGATTTTTTCATGCTTCTACGGCAGTTTTCATGTAGTTTGCAGCCATTTTCTACTGGCCAAAGTGAGAGTCTATAGGTGGCTGCCACAAATAGGCAGGAAGATTCTATTCGCCAGCATGAGAACCAACAGCTGACTGACACGAATGTTAATTAGCATGCTAGCATGCAAAAAAATCAATAGCTGCATTTGTCACAAGTGGGAAAAATTTAAATCTGCATGGCACTTTACTCCAATTGGCTCATTCACTTGCTTAAACCCAACGTTGATTCTGATTCCACAGAACTGGGTTGGGTGTGAAAAAGTATTTGTTGTTAACATTCTTTTTTCATTTGGTTTTTCCAGTTACGAGTCCTTTTTTAAAGCTGATCATTTTGTTTTCATTTTGTTTAATTCTTTTTTCGTAACAGATTTAATGTTTAGTATAGAACTTAGAAAAACTTTGCAGTGTGAAATAGGCAAGAAGTAAGGCATGTAGCAACATCAGCACGGCAAAGGGCACTTCTTTAAAGACAAGGAAGGGCAAAAATATTATAAATCAAGTGATAGCGATTGTATAAGTTGTACGATTTTTGAATCAAGCACAGGCAATGTCGGGCTATGCTGCTAGTAAAAAATAATTTGCACTTTTTCTATGTGCCTTTCAAAAGTCATCTGTAACTATTTTACTGAAAGAGTTGAATTTTTGTAGCTGCTTGATTTTGATCTCCTCAAATTGTAACTTGCATCTTGGGCAATACCTTTTTACAACAACCATAAACTACATTTTCTTACAATCTTGCCAAAAAAATATTTTTTGTGTCAGGCAAAAAGAGAAGAAAAATTGTTTAAATACTAGCCTATGTTTGTTTTCACAATGGAAATGTGGAACTCATTTTCTTGGTTTTAGAATTTTTCCTCAGGCTTATAAACAAATCATTACAGTTGATAGTACAAACAATACAAAATTAAGTAAACTTGAAAGATATTTCTGAGATTTCTGTATGTGCTAAAGTAGATGGTGTGAAATTTTTTTCAGTGCTTTCATTTCTCTTATTGTATGTTTTAAATTTACTTTTAAATCCATCTTGTTTTGGTTTAATCATACTTAGGAGGATTAAAATTATATTTACTTCTGAAATTTTCTTTGGATTAAAATTAATTTTCTGTGTTTTTAAGTCATTTGATATCTCTATGTATACATTCCTCTTTTTTCTGCCTCTACAAATAGATAGATAAAAAGATAGATAGATGAACAGACTGAGATAGATAGATTGATAAATGAACAGACTAACACACACACACACACATATATATATATATATATATATGGTTAAACCTAGAGAGCTAGACAAACCTACCAAGGTTTCACCTAAGCGGATCGTCAGGGAAGGCTGGCTAAAAAGGTAAAAAAGAATGGAATACTTATAGTCAATAAACAAAAAAACCATAACCATGTGACCAAATAAAAAAACAAACAAAAAATGGGGGAGGGGAGGGGAGAACCATTTATTCAAATAGAGAGAGAGAAAAAAAAATTTTAGAGAGAAACTCTGACAACAGGGGGTAATAAATCATTTATTCAATCGAAGAGAGAAAAAAAAATATGGGGAGAGGAGACCTAGTCTAACAACCAACGTTTTCTGTTTACATTTACTTAGAATTTCAGTTTTAGAATTTAATAATAATTTAATTTTTTTTTTCTCTAGGTTTAACTAGGTCTGCTCTATTGAGCACTTTATTTAGTTATTTTGCCTACTCGTATCAGGTCTTTTGTTTTTTATACCTTTTTTCCCCCTTTGGTATTGATTTGATTATTTGCAAATCAAAACACTGAAGGTTTTCTGAACGAGTATAATTCCTTATAAGATTACTACTAATAATATATATATATATATATATATATATATATATAATAAATATATATATATATATAAAAGCTCAAACACTAATATTCCTTGGTTATAATTTATAACATTGAATCGTATTCACAATCCAATTCATCAGACCTACAAATTCAAAAAGAAATTGGAAAATACAACTTCGGGTATAAAAAATTTTTTAGTGAGAGTGTATGTGTGGGAGTGGGAAACAAGTGTGAGAGAGGAATGTATGAAAGCTCTAGGGAGAGGTGTAACAGAAGAAAGAATAACAGGAAGGCCTAAAGGTGAAGGAGGTGATTAAAATTTAACAGAGAGAAGTTTTAAAGAGAGGAGTTAAATAACGGTTTTCAGAAACAGATAAATATGAATTATTTTCAGATGCATAATTCGCTACCAATTTGCTGACCTAAAATTAAAATTAAAAAACAGACACCGGAAACGTGGATACATTTGTAGTGATACTATGCACAATAAAAAATGATATGATCTAAACTTAAAATCCAACCAATTCATACTGCCGATGTATTTGTGAAAATTTTCCGTCTGCTTTGCATTCTTACTCTGTCCTGGATTCTATCCTCTTGGGAATTTATTTATATAAATATATATATGTATTCATATATTTTTATATATATATATATATATATATATATATATATATATATATATATATATATATATATACATACACATACATATATATATATATATATATATATATATTTTGCCCATTGACCCAAAAGCTAATATAATTGTTTTCCATCTATATATATATATATATATATATATATATATTTTAACCTTCACGGCTAGGAGTTTTTTTTCCTGTATTCCATTTTGCCCAGTCCTAACCACTTTCCAACTCTCAATAGAGCCCAAAAACTGCCTCTCCATGTTATTGTGGGTGATAAATTGTTTTCCACCATCATAAATACCTGAAATCTTTGTTCTCAGCAGATGAGATGTTGCAAACCTCTCTCATCTATGTTTTTAATCTTCTATCATCCAGTAAGATCTGAGTTCCATGGAAAGTGTATAGGGAGCACAAGAACAAACAAAACAACAAAAAAAAAGTACAGATGAACTACATTAAAATAATTCTTTAGGTCCACTAAAAGTTTTAACCTTCAAGCGGCTAGGATTTGGCAGGCTATGGTGGTGCCACTGCCTTGAGCATTGTAGCAAGCCACCCTTGTCAGCATTGTGAGCAGGTCCTTTAAGATAGGTACATGATTTTTTGTCCTGTATTCCATTGGTGAGAAGTAAGTTCCACTCAAGTAGTTTCTTTACATGAACCACTGCTCTTTGAAACCAACTCCCAAGAGGATATTTTCCTGATCACTACAATCTTAACCTATCTGCATAAACTGTGCCCCTTCTGTAATCCTCTACTTTGAGTGGCTCCCGGGACTTGTACAGAATGAACATCATTATGAAAAAAAAATCAGTGATTTCCCTCAACTGAAATCAATGCATCATAAATACCTGATTCATCTTTCTACATTCTTTTTGTTCTTAACATTTCTCTGATTTTTTGATTTCTTAAAAGATTTAGACCTGTTCAAATGCTTTTGCATTTTGCAAAAATAATTGACTACAACACCAAGTCTCCAAAATTTAATTCAGTTTATTTTTTTACTTATCTATGTTTTTAATCCTAATAGATATTTAGGCCACATAATTACAAGTGTTGGTCATCCAATAAGATCTGAGTCTTAAAACCCATTGTTATATACTGTGTATAGGAGCACAAGAACAAACAAAACAACAAAGTACTGCCAGTAAGGAAAGGAAACAAGATACATTAAAATAATAAACATTCTCTTTTTCCACAAACTTTGAACTGTTTTTTTGTCAATATAAAAACTGAATTTTCCAAATGGAATAAATCTCTGTGTGGTCTATAAAATGGAACATTATCCCAACAAAAATCTAAAAAGATAGTGGAAATTTTAAACTAGATGTTGACTATTGTTTTGTGCTTTGGTATAAAATCATTTATTTGTTGGCTGAGGTCACTGGTGGTGTTGTGTCTAATATAAATTAATGACAATTGACCTGCCAATACATCATTGAAATCGGAAAATTAGGATTCTGCAGGTTTGCCTTTTTTTTTTTTGTAAGGTTGTATGTAATGCTATAGTCAAATGATTAAAAAATACATAAGTCTTTTTGATTTTTAACATTGTGTAGATGGTAAAATTTTTTGAATACCTTTTTCAAGAACAAAACAAAAGTTCATCAACTTATGACACAGGAACGTAGAGTTAGAAAAAATCATAACCCTAAATTTTTCATATCCTATGAGTTTTTACTGTTACTGAAAGTTTTAAATAAAGCATATTTAAAATATGTTATATAGTAAAAAAAATATTCATTCTTTTTGAATTGTAGTAGATTAAAGTAAACAGTTTAACTGTATGAAAAATGTTCAAAAATTTCATTTTCTGTTAAATATGAAGGGAATAGCATAAAAATGTTTTTTTTTAATAATTTTCCTAAAAAAAGAACCATTTTTCTAAGGAACTATTTTGATAAGAAGCCATTTTGCTAAGGTTTGTGCATAAAGTGTTTTTCTTGTGTCTTGTCAGCATTTCTATCATGTTCAAACTATGTTTACTATATTGTTATAGAAAGTGAGAGAAAGAAAAATAAAGACAAAATGGAAGAAATCAAAATAGAAAGAAGTAAAGAAGAAAGATAAAAACAAAAGAAAAAGGCTTAAAGAAAGAGAGAGAAGAAGAAGGGAAAATGATGACATGATGAATTAATGAATAAAATGGAACATCTGAGTAACAATGCAAGAAGAATTTGGGGGAAAGAGATAGAGGAGAAAGTTGAATGGGAAAATAGAGAACAGAAACAAAAGAGAGAAATAGAAAAAATAGTGTGAATTTGAAGAGAAGAATGAAAACATATAAAATGTAAAAGAGAAATATTAAAGATAGAGTGAGAAAAAAGAAAAAGGGAACAAATGAAAGAGAAAAGATTAGAAGTGATTAAAACGACAAGTAGAGAATGAAAGAAAATTATAAAAAGAGAAGGTCAGAAAAAGAATAAAAGAAACGAAGGTGAGTGGGGAGTCAAATGAGTAAAAGAAAAAAAAACAAGAAAGAAATGGAAACAATGTGAAGAATTGGTAAGAAAAAGAATACTTTCAAAATTCTGAGCAAACACAACATCCATCAGGACAATAGCTTAGTGAATTAAAGTGATTTTTTTTTGTTGTTGTTGTTTTTCAGCAATAATGCTCCTGAGGCACAAGAAGTTATTGGGAGTGAAAAAGAATGAGAAAACTTTAGTGACAAGAAAGCACAATAATAGAACAGGTTTTAGGAAGACAGAAGATTGCAATTGACATCACATTTAAACTTTTGAAAACTGTGGGTAGCAAGGAAGCAAGAAACCAGAAGAGAGTTCCACAGGCAAGAAAAGGAACTATTAGAATAGAATTTATGGTTACATCTAGCTCGTTCAACAGTAAAATAATGAGAACTAAGTGCCAATCAAGTAGTACACTTAAATTCATACAGTTTAGGTACCAAGGAGGAAAGCTCATCAGAACAATTGTCATGAAAATATTTCTAGAAAAGACAGAGGAAAGCCACATTATGGCAGTGGGAAAGTGATTGAAGTTGAGATACCAGATCAAATTCCTCCCCAGCCATTTGAACAGGAGTAGAGGTTTATCCCTTGTTCCTTGTTTAGGATTGGGTTTCTTGTTTCTTTTAAAGTCTGCTTCAACTCTATACTTCTAACATCACTATCTAAAACTCTGAAATTTTATTTACTATTGATTTACTTTTTTTGTCAATAGGAGTAGATAAGTATGCTATTGTCTGGTTTACACTCCTCCCCAATCTTTTGAACAGGAGTAGAGTCTTATTCCTAGTTTCCTGTTTAGGATTGGGTTTCTGGTTCCTTCTAAAGTCTACTTCAACTTTATACTTCTGACATATCTGCCTAAAAAAATTTATTTACTATTCACATTTTTCTGTGTATCCCTTGTTTAGGACTGGGTTTCTGATTCCTTTTAAAGCCTTTCCTTTCACTTCCAGTGGCCCCTTGTAACTTTGTGGCATTATCTCCTGCTTGGGTTGGTAGCTCTTACTCTGTAACCTCCTACCTCGAGTGGCTCTTGGGCCTTGTACAGGATGAACATCATTGTAAAAAAATAAATAAATAAATTTAGCAACATAATAATTGTGAGTTAAGTCCCTGGGCCAAGTAGCACAAATTTAGTGGATACAGAACAAGCAATAATTGAGTAGTAATAAAAGATGAAAGCAAACTATACCGAGATATGGTTCCCTGTTCGACTCCAATAAGTACCTGACTCCTCCTCCTACTATCCTCTACCTTGAGCCAAATAAGGACCAAATTGAGTACTACTGCCACATATGGGCAAGAGCTGCCCAGTTTTCACTTTCTTGCCCAACAGCTTCTCCATATCCTTGTGGGTGACAAATGATTTTCCACCTTACAACCCCCTTCCCACAGACAAAACATTGCAAGCCTCTCACTGCTCTATCACTCTTTCCGTTGAAAGTGTTCAAATGAACTACGTTACTTAGTTCCACCAGTTCTAACCTTCACAGCTAAGACCTTTTATACCACACACATTGTAGGAAATCACCTTCATTCCTTGGTACTCCATTGGTAAGATGTAAGCTCTATTCAAGCAGCACCTTCCCACAAACCACTGCCTTGTGGAACCAACACCCAAGAAAATGCTTTTCCAACCATTACAATCTTAACATTTTCAGGTCTAGTGTTAACTGTTATCTTCTCCACATATCCCTATAAATTGCACCTCTTAATCTGTAATTTTTGCTTCTTAGTCATTTTATAAAACTGGTCATTTTATAAAACTGTTGTCTAATGTTATTAAAATTTTATTTCAGATTAGACATGCCTTTGTGATGAAATGCAAAGTAGACCAGAATGAGCATGTTTGACATCTTCCTCCCTTTGCTTTTAATCAATATCACAAATTTGTCAAAGCTCCTTGAGATATTTCTGCTTCAAAACAACTAAAAAGTCAATGCTAAGCTGTATGTTGAACAAATGAACTGGCTCAAAGAGGCAATTTAGCTGAAAAGACCTAGCCGGTGATACTGTGTGATTATTCAACATGATAATGTTTGCCCCATGTCACTAACATGACCAAACATACAATTAAAGAACATGTTTGGGAAGTTCTGCCACACCCATCATATTCTCCTGATGTAGTCCCTTCAGACTAACTCCTTTTATGGTTGCTTTCTAACAATTTGGGGAGTGTTTCGTTCAGCAATGAGTTAGCGTTTAAAACATGGCTTGATGAATTTTTCAAGTCAAAACCTAGTTGAGGCATTGAACAGTCAGTGGATCATTGGGAAGTTTTAACCAATGAAATATCACTGGCTAGGTCTTTTCAGCTGAATTGCTTCTTTGAGCCAGTTCATTGTTGAATCATTCATAAGAACTATTAATAAATAATAAATAGAATAAATTGTAAAAAAATGAACAAGTTTATGTAAAAATCTAAAATACTTTGTTGCATTTTTATATTACCCTTACATCTGTTTCAGTATATTTTGAATTCAAAATAGTTGTTGGCACACATGCTACTATTAAATAGGATTTCTGTTGTACCAAAAGCTGTAGATATGTGCTAAATTGTACCATATAAAAGTTGGACAAGTGGGAAGACAGCACATTCTTGAGGAAGAGGGAAAAAGATGTTAGCATCTCACAGAATTTGTGCTGATTCACAAAACCTTGTTCTTGTTTTCTTTTTAACTCAAAGAAAAAATTTAAAAAATAATTAGTTGCTGTTCTTTTTAGGAAAGTATAAATCAACAAAATGGTAGTACTGGAAAGAATATGCAAAAAGAGATATCTATCTATCTATCTATCTATCTATGTGTTTCTCTCTTTCTCTCTCTCATATATATATATATATATATATATATATATATATATATATATGATTCACTTTCCCACTGATATAATTTTTTATTTTTTTTTAGGTGGTATCACCCCATGGAAGACAGTAAAGCCACTATGACTCAAAAGGAGACTTAGGAACAAAACACTAATAATGAGTGGAAAGAGAAGAGTATTCAGGAGGACAGTAGATAGCAATTGACATTGGAATTAAATTTTTGCAGATGTTGGCTGGAAAGCATGGAACCAGAAGTGAGTTTCACAAGTGAGAAGTGCGAGAAAAGAAATTAGCATACAATTTACTGCTACATCTAACCAGCTCAATTGTAAATTGATGAGATCACAACACCAGTCTAGTACGGTGCTTAAAATAAAAAAGTCTAGGTACCATAGTGAAGACCATGTCTGAACAATTACCATGAAAGTATTTATAGAAAGGACTCAGAGAGGCAACGTTACAGTGATGGGAAAGTGACTGAAACCAAGCTGCCAAATCAGGACCAATAATCTTTCTTATTCTTCTTTGGATCTTATCAATGAGCTCAAGGTAAATAGCAGGGGCACTGGACCATATGTGGCAGCAATATTCTAAGCATGGGTGAATAGTATACTTATAAATATGTAAGATAGATTCTGGAGAGAAAAATGTCTTGCATGACACAGTGAACAGACTTTCTTAGTAGCTGACCTAGCAATAGATTCAATATAGTCTTTCCACTTTATGTCAGCTGAGAATGTTAGCCTGAGTAGGTGCAATGATTCACTTTCCTGGAAGTTAGAGAAGTTTAGTTTTGGAGGTGTTAAAATTAACAAGCCATCTTTGACTCATTTAAAGATGGGCTTAAGGTAGTTTTAGATCTAGATGAGTGGCTATTCAGAATTACTTTCATTTCATGATTTGAGAAGAAAGAGTGGATCAGTTCAAAATGTGTCCTGAGATACTGTAACTTTTCAGCTTGTAGAGAAGACCTGTATGCTAAACCCCATCAAAGGCTTTCGAGATGTCTAATGCTACAACTCAAGCTTCATGTTTTTATCTAGAGAATGTTAGACTGTTTCTGCAATTATCAGCATCAGTTGACCTGGAGAAGTGAAAACCATATTGCTTGTCTGAAAAAAAGCCCTGTGATGAGAGATGATGAACTAATTCAGCATTGATTAGGACCTCCAGGAGTTTCCCAAAAAGTGGTAGAAGGCTAATAGGCTGATAGTTGTGAGGGTTCACTAGAGTATTTAAAAACTGGAACAACAGATGATGACTTCCAGCAGGCAAGGAGGCAGACAGGAAGCGAGGCATTTATTATACAGTTTAAAGAGAACAGGAACCAGTTCGGGAGCACACTTCTTCATAACTATTAGAGGGATACCAATAGATCCACATGCTTTGTATAGGATCTAGGTTAGAGATGATAGCAGAAACTATAGAAGGGGTTATATGCATATCACTCAACAGAGATTCAGTTCTAAGTAAGATGTTAGGCAGGGATACTCCAGTTGAGTTAAGAGTAGAGTTTAAGGAGAATTTATGGGCAAAACGTTCAGCTTTATCAGCAGAAGATGTTAGCACTTCAAATTGATTGAAGAGGGGAGGAATAGAGTCCTTACACTTATTTAATACCCTATTACAGAACCACCAGTAATCACAAGAGCTTGTTAGATGCTATGCAGTGCCTCATTCTCTTGGCAAACAGGGACTTATCTTCTTCGACAACTCACTTTATTAGGAGCAGCAATGAATAGGCACCTATTGTGATGAGAGCTGTCATGCTGATATAGCCAAAAATAGTGATTCCAGTATGGTATAGTGGTTGAGTATGCTGTTGTGAACAA